TTTATAACAAACCCAGGTGTAAGTGGTATATGGAGGAAGGGGAGGGAAAAGGCTTGCTGAGACCTGAGGCCAGGATGGTTCCTTCAGGAGAGATGGGGGGACATTTCTGGTAACGAAGGGGGCTGCCTTGGTGGGTACGCTTCTTGGGCCTGGTGGAGTACCTCCATCACTAACTATCCTTTCTCTCCTCTCTTTCCTGCAGGGTAACAAAATGCTCAACTACAGTACTCCCAGTGCTGGGGGCTGCCTGCTGGACAGGAAGGCGGTGGGCACCCCTGCCGGCGGGGGCTTCCCTCGGAGGCACTCCGTCACCCTGCCCAGCTCCAAGTTCCACCAGAACCAGCTTCTCAGCAGCCTCAAGGGGGAGCCAGCTCCAGCCCTGAGCTCGCGGGACAGCCGCTTCCGCGACCGTTCTTTTTCGGAGGGAGGCGAGCGGCTGATGCCCACCCAGAAGCAGCCGGGTAGCGGCCAGGTCAACTCGAGCCGCTACAAGACGGAGCTGTGCCGCCCCTTTGAGGAGAATGGTGCCTGTAAGTACGGGGACAAGTGCCAGTTCGCACATGGCATCCACGAGCTCCGCAGCCTGACCCGCCACCCCAAGTACAAGACGGAGCTGTGCCGCACCTTCCACACCATTGGCTTCTGCCCCTACGGGCCCCGCTGCCACTTCATCCACAACGCGGAGGAGCGCCGCGCCCTGGCCGGGGCCCGAGACCTCGCCGCCGACCGTCCCCGCCTCCAGCATAGCTTTAGCTTTGCTGGGTTTCCCAGTGCCGCTGCCACCACCGCTGCCACAGGGCTGCTGGACAGCCCCACGTCCATCACCCCACCCCCCATCTTGAGTGCTGATGACCTCCTGGGCTCACCCACCCTGCCTGATGGCACCAGTAACCCCTTCGCCTTCTCCAGCCAGGAGCTGGCGAGCCTCTTTGCCCCTAGCATGGGGCTGCCCGGGGGTGGCTCCCCGACCACCTTCCTCTTCCGACCCATGTCCGAGTCCCCTCACGTGTTTGACTCTCCCCCCAGCCCTCAGGATTCTCTCTCGGACCAGGAGGGTTACCTGAGTAGCTCCAGCAGCAGTCACAGTGGCTCAGATTCCCCCACCTTGGACAACTCAAGACGCCTGCCCATTTTCAGCAGACTTTCCATCTCAGATGACTAAAACAGTAGGGAGGGACCCCCTGCCTACTCTGCCCCACACCTACACCCCACCACCCTTGCCTCTTCCCCAACCAATTCCTGACAACCCCTACATTAACAAGATTAAGCTCAACCCCTTTCTCTTGAACCTTGGAGTACCCCCTTCCTCTCCTCCCCACCTTGTTACCCCTCCTAACATAAGGACAAGTCAATTTGTCAGTAGTTTCCTCTGGCTTGAAACCCCTCCTATCAACTTTATAGCCCACTTACCATGCATAACAGACAAGTCCCGTATTTGTCAGTAGATGCCTTTTTCTGGCTTAAGCCTTAAGTGCCAAATCACAAAAGAAAAAGCAGTTAACAGTTTACAGAAGCAACTTAGTGCCTTGTAATCTAACTTTGTCACTGTGACTACATTACCTCTTCAGCGCCAGAGGGCGCCCGTGGGCCTCCCGGAGCCTGCCCATGGGGAGGGGGAGGAGACCCAGAACCAGCAGCTCCCCCC